GCTACAAACAAAAACAAACATTTAGCTACAAACAAAAACAAACATTTGGCCACAAACAAAATAAACATTTAGCGACAAACAAAATAAACATTTAGCCACTACGAAAAACAAACTTTTAGCTACAACCCTCAACAAGTGTTAGAAAGTGACCCACAACCCGACTACAAAGAGCTGGACCAGATCAGGTGTAACACAAACAGGTGTTTTTATTTTCCAGTCATGTCCACACCCAAAAGGTTTTAGGACTTACGAGGACCGAACTTTGGGCCCCTGAGGAGCAGTGGGTCTTTATACGCTGGGGTGCATCAAGGTGACACAGTCTGTGCCACCGCTCCATCCCTGCTGAGTGGTTGCTAGGCAACACCGAGCAGGTGGAGGATGTGTGGTGCCTCACCGGATGCTAAACTTTAGAAAGTCAAACAGACTGGACGGACTGGACGGACTGGACGGACTGGACAGACATGGACCCAGAGACTCTTAGTTTTTAATGTGTAATCAGAACCACAGAGCCCGTCTGCTGTGTGTGTGTGTGTGTGTGGGGGGGGTTGTCCTGAGCCGCATTCAGATCCTGTTTTAATCTAAATATTATTTAATGTTGCAATAAATTAAAGGTTTTACTTTGAATGCTTTGATGTTCTCTACTATTTTTTTAACTGGATGGTTGTTTTGGACGACCTGTTTTATAAAACTCAAAAATAATAAAATAATTCCTAATCGACCAGGACTGGCCCTGGACTTGAACCCACGGTGTTTTCTGTCTGTTTGAAGGTGGTTCAGGGGTTTTACAATCAGGACTCACTAAAAGCAGCAGAAATGTTTGTCAACAGATAAACAACCAACAATCCTGCAGCAGCAACATGAGGCTGCACTTTCACTGGGTGACCTGCTTCACTCAGACGATGAATAAATCATGGAGACACACGGAGGAGGAGATGAAGAACACTTTCACTATACTTCTGTTTCAGCAGAAATTAAGACACAGAGAACACAAATATGTCCCTCCTCTGGACATGTCCAAACCACTGTCCCTCCTCTGGACATGTCCAAACCACTGTCCCTCCTCTGGACATGTCCAAACCACTGTCCCTCCTCTGGACATGTCCAAACCATCTCAGTGTGTCCTCTCTAACTTTATCTCCCAGTTGTCCAACCTGTGCTGTGTGATCTCCTTCCTGATCTTCTCCATCCTTGTCTCTCCTAAGAAGAACCTCAACATCTTCATTTCTGACACTTCCAGTTCTGTCTCCTGTCTTTTTGTCCAAGTCTCTGTCTCCAGACCATACAACATAACTGGTCTCACCACTGTCTTGTAAACTTTTGCTTTGACCTTTGCTGACACCCTTTTGTCTCAAACTCACTCAGCCACAGTCGCCCCACAGTCTACCCTGAGGCTGTTAGACTCATGAATCTCTAACCAGAATAATCACTGTGAAAAATCACATCATGTTGCTGCTGATCTGTTTCATGTTGCTGCTGATCTGTTTCAATGTTGCTGCTGATCTGTTTCATGTTGATGTGTTCATGCGTGCTCATCTGCTCACAGACTCATGTTCATGTTTGTGCTGATGTTCAATGTTTTATGTTATGAGTGCTTAGTGTATATTTAGTTGGTGTTTTTCTTACTTCATATCTTAGATGTTATTACTGTTTTTCTTGACAATTTATACTTTTGTTGGATGTAACTGGGACCCTGTGAACAGTTTCGTTCCACCACATGTACCACACGTGGTTTCCTTATTTTGCTGTTCAACTGTTTACCAGCAGGTGGCGGTGATGGGTCCTGGCATCTTCTAATAAAGAAGAAGAAGAAGAAGCAGCAGAAGAAGTAGAATAAAAGAAAAAGAAGAAGAAGCTTTACGAAACTCAACCGGTTTAAAGTATTTGTATGTAAACAGAGCTCCGGAATCGATCCGAGTCGTTTTGCAGCCGTATTTGTGTTTTCTGAATCACTGTGTGATAAAGCTTTGCTCGACGGCTCACCGGCTTCCGTAGTTCTGCTGCGTGGTGCCGGACCTGCTCTGCTGCGATCTGTTCTTTGGATCGGAACCATGAGCCGAAGCTACAACGATGAGCTGCAGTTTCTGGAGAAACTCAACAGCAACTGTTGGAGGATTAAAAACGGCTTCGTGCCGAACATGAAGGTGAGAAGTAGCGGGTTCGGTTCGGAGGCTTCTGAGGGTTCTAACCGGTCCGGATGTTCACACAACTGTGGTAAACGCGAGCCGAAGGAGAGAACAGCTCAAAATACAAAAAATATCTAATAATTAACATGAAATGCGACGTTTCACACATCTGACTGCAAAAGTTCTTAAATGAGACTGTTCGAGGGCAGAGTTCGGTGAGATTAAATCCTGGCTGCTGCTTAAATCTCGATAAATCTTGTTTATAAAAGCATTTATGAAATAAACGTTTCCTGAGAATTATAATCTTAACATTTAACCTACAGTTTTAATTTTATTCTACTAAATAATTGGTCTCAAACGGCTTCAGCTGATTTTGTCCTGACACCATCTCAGTTTATTTGTGGAGCTCCAGGTCCCAGCAGGTCCAAACCTTCTCAGATTTATAAAAGAATCTGTGGAAGGGACGCAGCAGGTTGTGTTGAAGCTGCACTTCATCACAGACTCCCATCCCGAGCAAGCACAAAGGAGACCGTGGGAAGAAAAACTCCCATTAACAGGAAGAAGCAGAACCAGTTCAGGACAAGTGGCATCTGCTCGGACCTGCTGGTTGAGAGGACAGGAAGTGGAAACAGACACAGAATGGCAGGTCCAGGTGTAAGATGATGTTTACTTGAATCAACAGGAAAAATGGAAGTTTTTCATTTTCCTGCTTCTGTCACCTGATTTGTTTACAAACATGTTTTTATTTATTGTTTCAGGTGCATTAAATAAACACAAGGCAGCTTTAATTACTGTAAGTTATTGACCAACAGCTTCTTCTGCTCCCCGTCGACGCGGAGCGGGGCCCTCCTCAATGAGGAGCGGGGCCCTCGTTGATTTGGAGCGGGGCCCTCCTCAATGAGGAGCGGGGCCCTCATTGATTTGGAGCGGGGCCCTCAATGATTTGGAGCGGGTCCCTCATTGATTTGGAGCAGGGCCCTCGTCGATTTGGAGTGGGGCCCTCCTCAATGAGGAGCGGGGCCCTCGTTGATTTGGAGCGGGGCCCTCGTCGATTTGAAGCGGGACCCTCGTCGATTTGAAGCGGGACCCTCGTCGATTTGGAGCGGGACCCTCGTCGATTTGGAGCGGGGCCCTCGTTGATTTGGAGCGGGGCCCTCGTTGATTTGGAGCGGGGCCCCGTTGACGAGCTGGTTTTGGTGAATTGCTGTCTTGTTTTCTCAGGTTGAAGGAATCTTCTACGTGAACGATTCTCTGGAGAAGTTGATGTTCGAGGAGCTTCGTAACGCGTGTCGAGGCGGAGGTGGGCTGACCTGCTGACATCATCTCTGCCCGCTCCCAGGTGTTCGGGGCCTCACCTGTCGTGTTTTTGTCTGCAGGTGTGGGCGGGTTCCTGCCAGCCATGAAACAAATTGGGAACGTGGCGGCGCTGCCCGGGATCGTTCATGTGAGTGAAAAGGATTTCTTTAAACCGTTTGAAGTAGGACGATGAGCCGTGTCCTCTCTGTGTCCACAGAGGTCCATTGGCCTCCCTGACGTCCATTCTGGGTACGGCTTCGCCATAGGAAACATGGCGGCCTTCGACATGAACGACCCGGACGCCGTCGTGTCTCCAGGTGAGAAACAAAGTTCTGATTCCAGAACAAAAGTAAAATCTCGTGTTTTAAAGAAACATAACGTTCCCGTTTCTTTGTCCCATTTTTGTTTTAGGCGGCGTCGGCTTCGACATTAATTGCGGCGTTCGTCTTCTGAGGACAAACCTGGACGAGCGGGATGTCCAGCCCGTCAAAGAACAGCTGGCCCAGTCTCTGTTCGACCACATCCCAGTCGGAGTCGGGTCCAAAGGCGTCATCCCGATGGGAGCCAAGTGAGCAGCATCGTCCAGAACTGAACGTGTCACAGCTGGACCTCCCCTACCTGTCTGTCTTACCTGTCTTACCTGTCTGTCCTCAGGGACCTGGAGGAGGCTCTGGAGATGGGGGTGGACTGGTCTCTGAGGGAGGGCTACGCCTGGGCCGAGGACAAGGAGCACTGCGAGGAGTACGGCAGGATGCTGCAGGCTGACCCCAACAAGGTGTCGTCCAAGGCCAAGAAGAGAGGCCTGCCACAGGTAACCCAGAGGCCCCGCCCCTTTCTGGTAGTGACCTCCGCTTCAGGATTCAGAAACGTCTTTGGTTTTTGTGTTAAAGCTGGGAACTCTGGGAGCAGGAAACCACTACGCTGAGATCCAAGTGGTGGACGAGATCTATGACGACTATGCGGCTAAGAAGATGGGCATCGACCACAAAGGTCAGGTGTGCGTGATGATCCACAGCGGCAGCCGGGGCCTCGGACACCAGGTCGCCACAGGTAGGTCCGCTTCAGCCTGAGGGGCGAAAAACACGCCTAAACATCCCAGATGATGTTGGAACAAACAGGAAATAAAGAAGTGTTTGGTGCTGACAGACGCTCTGGTTGCCATGGAGAAGGCGATGAAACGCGATAAGATCACAGTGAACGACCGGCAGCTGGCCTGCGCTCGCATCACCTCCCAGGAGGGGCAGGACTATCTCAAAGGCATGGCGGCAGCGGGAAACTACGCCTGGGTCAATCGCTCGTCCATGACATTCCTCACCAGACAGGTACGCTCACTCCTGGTTCTCATTGAGCTTCAGGGAGCAGCCGAACTTCTGCTCAGCCGGTCTCCATCTCGTCTTTCAGGCCTTCGCCAAAGTCTTCGGCACGACGCCGGACGACCTGGACATGCACGTCATCTACGACGTTTCTCACAACATCGCCAAGGTTGAAGAGCACATCGTGGACGGGAAGCAGAGGACCCTCCTGGTTCACCGTAAAGGATCGACCCGAGCTTTCCCTCCACACCACCCTCTAATTCCTGTAGATTACCAGGTACGCTCTTCTAATCTCAGTAGATTATCAGGTACGTCCCCATAGATTACCAAATTTGTCTAATTAATCCCTGTAGATTACCAGGAACGTCCATTTAATCTTTTTAGATTGCCAGGTATGCCCCTCTACTCCCTGTAGATTATCAGGTACACACCCCACAGATTATCATGTCTGTTTATTTAATCCCTGTAGATTGCCTGGAACGTCCATTTAATCTTCGTAGTTTGCCAGGAATGTCCGTGTAATCCTTGTAGATTGTCTGGAACGTTCATTTAATCCACATAGATTACGAGGAACGTTCATTTAATCCCCGTAGATTGGCAGGACCGTCAATTTAATCTTCGTAGATTGCCTGGAACGTTCATTTAATCCTCGTAGATTGCCAGGAACGTTCATTTAATCCACGTAGATTACCAGGAACGTTCATTTAATCCACGTAGATCACCAGGAACGTCAATTTAATCTTTCGTAGATTGCCAGGAACGTTCATTT